CAGGATGTCATGCGCGCCACTGTAATGCCAACTTGCCCGTCTTTGTCAATCTCCACCCTGAGTGCCAGTTCCTTTGCACTCCAGCTAAAGTTCATGACCCCTCAGAGTTCACGTTGGGACGAGGGTCTTTATGAGGGAGAGTGAACTATTCGCTTTAGTCTCACGTGACTCTGTGCATATGGTAAGTCACCCCGAGAGTGGAAAAAGCTCCACTTACAGTTTCTTGCAGTTCCTTCCAACTTATTTTATGGCCAGCTTCAGTGAATGAAGAGCCAAACAAACAGAGAGGGATACATATGGCAGAAACAGAGACATAGTGATGGACCTACGGCATCCAGCAACAGAGAGTAGGAAGTGAGAGATGTGTGGGAGCCAGAAGGATTTTAGAGTGTACAATTGTTTTGTGAATCATGTTTTCTGAAAGTGTGCATGCATTCGTCAGTGTGTATGTTGTTCTGGGGTACTTGGGAAGGTGAACTCATGCTCCTCTTGGTGCAGGAAGTCCCTGATTAGTCTTAACGAGAATTGCAGACCATATTAATGCAACCACACACCTCTCCCTCCCTCCCGCCTCCTTTTCTCTCTCACTCCTGCCATCTGCACTCTCTATACTCTCTGCCAGACATCATAAACCCACTGCAGAGCCCAGAGACACACACCAGAGCACCGAGGGGGGGCAGGCCAGCGGTTGCCACGCACTCAGCCCCCTCTTGCACATTCAACCCCTACAATAACAGGTCTCTCAAACAAACACATGCTGCGGTGCAACATGCGTAGTACACACACAGGAGAAATCTTGCACCATACGACAGATAGTAAAGTTCTTAGCGCAAACATTTACACACCTAAACAAACACAGAAGGTACAGGAAAGCAGAACACTACACAGGCATAAACACTCACAACTGCAATGAAACACACTTTTTTTTTGTCTCCAAACTTATTTGCATAGAAAAGAATGTGAGTTTGGAGATCACAGATAAGGAGAGCTCTGCGCTGAAGAGAAGGAAAAAAGAGAGAGAAAGAGAGGGGATTGAAAAAAGGTCTGCTGGTGAGCAAGTCTTATTAAATGTTCCTGCAGATGGACAGACGGGGCGTTTTCATATTGAGACATGGATACCCTCTCCTCTATTCTCTTGACTCCCACCCACACATTAACATGTGTTTCACATTCAAATGCGGAGATGTGCAAACCAACGGCCAACCACTCTGTGTGACTGGCAGCCCGCTCTCTCACACTTGCTCTCCCTCTCTGTTGTCATAGAAATGAACGTACAGAACAGTATTACGCCTGTGTGTGTATGTGTGTGTATGCATGTGTGTGTTTTTAAAGGCTTCATGAGGGGGCTTGAAAGTGTTTCGTAAAATGAAATCAACCTGCTGACTTCAGTTTCAATATGAATAAAAATGACGCAGCTGAGGTCTAGTGATGCTAACTATTTGAAATCCATTTGCTGATTAAAATTGTTTTGTTTAGCTCAGAAAGCAGCGTATGTGTTGACTGTAGTATTCATTTTCAAACCCACATCCGTTTGAGTATCACAAAGCAATCACATCAGTGTTCATAACACCGTGAAGTAAAGGCTGTTTTCACTCTAGTTTGTTGCTGACTTTAATTGATGTTCTTAGGTTCAATACAAAACTGACAACTGATCATAAATAGCAACCAATGACTGCATCATGATTATTTATCTGGTTTACATGGTCAGTTAGGTTTCTTTGAACCAGGAAGGAATACACTGCATGAAACTCCAATCCAAAAAACAAGTTGGTCTGTGACACTGATGACTCATTACAATTTGAGGTTACGGCACAAAAACAAATGAATACCAATACATACATTTGACATGAAATCATACTTTTTTAATGCAGTTTTTATTGCAGGTGTCATCCATCCTGTACAATGTTTATGAAACTATACCTCGGCTGCTACCAAACTCTGAATTCCTGTGGTTAATCTGCTGAGGCAGGCCCAAGACCTTAAGGGCCCAAGGAGAATCTGATAGATCTGTGCCTTTATTTCTAATAGCCAATGCAAAACTGATCTGTTTAATTATGATAGAGCCCCCCCTAAAGATTTGTCGTTGTAATGCCAACACTCAGAAATATATTACTTATGTTTGAATCCCCAAATTCGGTATAGAGGCTCGAAAATGTGCATCAAATCAAATTCCACAAATGAGTTAAAAGCACCCTTAAGAACTGTGTTGGAATAGCTTACCTAAAATGTATCATTGTTATAACCTTTACATTTGCTGTAGCGCCAACAAATCTGAGATCCAAATATAGTTTGCATCCTGTACAACACTGGGTCTACAAAACCGTTTGTTCTCTAAGTACATAAATATTTCTACTAATGAACCATGGGGACACAACTACATTTTCTGGAGGGCACTTGGTGGCTACACAGCTCCCACCAGGTGCATAATTCATTTTGGAGCGGGGGGTGAGTCAGTGGGTGGGGGCTCAACTTTGTCCTTGCAAGAAGAGGGCAAACTCGTCATGTCTATGCGCATGTACTGTTTATATGTTCGTCTACATGTAAGCCAGCAGGAGTTCCGTTTGATCACAGTCAATGGACATGTGAGGTCTGAGTGAGCGGATGAGGGACAGACACATACACAAACATAAACACACACACACACACACACACACACACACACACACACACACACACACACACACACACACACACACACACACACACACACACACACACACACGCACATAAAAGAGAGAGTAAGATAAAGGGCCGCCGGAACGAGGAAACACATGGCATCATAAGTCTGTGAGTCAGGTAATGTCTATGAACATAAACGTTTTCATGGATAAGAGAGGCTCGAAGAAAGGGTGGTGGGCTGCAGACAAAGGCAGAGATGAAGGGGTGGGTGGGATCGGGGGTGTCTCTTTCTATGTCGTTTACCCAGCTGGAGGACCAAGAGACCCAGACAGAGCCCTGATGTCACCTACTGTACCCTAACGCCTCCCAACTCCCCTGCATCCTGTCCCCGCCGGAATGATGTCACAGACCAGCTGGGGATGTCACGTCCACACCCCCCGATCCCCTCCGTCTCACCCCTCTCTCAACTCGGCTTCAATCAGTGACGTCCCACTGCGACCCAGGACAGTCAATGGAGCACGTACCAAACACAGACAGAAAGGCAACCATGGATACATCCACGGGGGCGATCACACATGGATACTCAAATCTATAGCACATACATCAATAAATGATGTAATGTAGACAGAGCGAGTAAATGAAATGCTAATAAATACAACAACATAAACGGCTGCGTGATCCCGTAACACAGTTAACTGGTTTATTGTTTTATGTAATTCACTTATTTCCACTATATTAGTGCAAAAAAGGAAATGACACAATCCCAAGGAGAGCAGCCACCAAACACTGGAACACGATTCGAGGCACTGCACCGGATCCAGTGACCTCGGGAACCTTTGCTCAGAAAACTCAAAGAGAACATATGATCCAAACCAGTCCTGACTGCTGCTGATTTGATCACAATATGGCTTCCAATTACAAGTGTAGAGCACGTGAACCAAGCTGGGGAATTAAAGATATGTCTGTTTATATCAGTAACGACGACTAATAACTCAGTTTTGGCTCATAAATCACTGTTTTGCTTGCAAGCAGTGTGTTAAAAACTCACATTACAGGCTAGATAACTAGAGCTGGATTATGAACCGCATTCAATACTGTCTCATCACTAGTGGGAGGAAGTAGGTGACAGATTTATGGGAGAATTCGACCATAAAGAGCTCTCAAGCATGTTCAACCTCTTTGGGCCACCTCTTAGCAATAAAATGTTAGTGACTTCCTGTTTCAGAGAAAAAGAGAGGACATCAGTTGTAATATTCAACACAACTGTACTTTTTGTAGTACCCTTGTACCGTATCATTTCTGCCGGCTGGTAAGTGGATAAACAGCTATAACAATCATTATAAATAAGATTGAATAATCTGAACAAGTTCCTGAAATTAAAATGATTTAGTCAAAAAACATTTGAATTATTAGAAATGCCATCACTTTAAGTAATTTCAGTAAACAATATAGAAATTAAATTCCTTAATTTATTACCAAAATATGAGTTACACTCAGAACTTATCCGACTGTATCTGTTGGATTTTGTGCGGGACAACGCTCATAAATATAAATGGACCTTGGTGGTGGTCAACTATATAAAGATTCAGTACAGTGTAAATCCTTTAAAAACAACTTTTATATTGAGGCTGACATTCACAGGATAATTAATCCCTGACTTTATACATATTGGAAAAACAACATCTTAAATAAATAAATGTTACATTGGCTTATCTCTGTCACTACACTACAACGGAAATAAAGTCATTTATCCATAAAAAGTCACATTTGACCAAATATGTGGTTTTGATCCTACTGTGAAGCTAAATGACTGCTATAGTTGATGCTTATACAACAAGTTTGAAAATTGACATGAATCTGGGTCCAACAAAAACATAATTCAATTTGTCGGCTGAATCATTTATTTTAGCATTTGTGAAACTGCTCTAAATGATTCACCAGGACTTTTATTATTATTATAACTTTAATGTTTAAAGGAACACAGCAATATACAAATGCCAGTCCTTGTCAATTGCTGCCTGTCAGTCACTCAAAAACCATTGAAAAATATCAAAAGGGGGAAATTCCTGCTTTCAGTTTCCTGCTCATTTACAGTGAAACAGCTCTGTTTTATTCATGTGTTTGTGTGTGTTTGTGTTTGTGGGAGATAAACAGTAAAAGAGAGAGAGAGAGAGAGAGAGAGAGAGAGAGAGATTCATGCCCCCATAGACACTGTGTTACGTGCAGGCCAAGAGGAGAAACTGAACACCACCCAATCTTCCTCCTCTTTTAGGCAGCAGCCCCCCCCCCC